GTCTACTGTGTCAAATGCCTTGGCAAAATCAATTATGTGTATATTCAGAATTGTATGTTAATTCTAGAGGATTCTGTTAACATTGGGTATGATGTAAACATCAAGGCATATGTACTCTAATTTTGATAGTGAGATCAGTATAGTAAATCTAGTAGTGAAATGTATAATGCTAACAGGATGCCTAAATTAATTCCCCATGATCCAAGTTGCTTGCTTAACTTTTCTGAATCTTTCAGTGTTGTTTGTTCGGAAAGAGTGCCTACAATAGGCCTAAATTGCAGTGTCAACACAGTGTTAATCCTCCACTAACTCCATGCTCCATGAAATATCAAAAATAATTCCTTTGGCCTAAAACATTGCGAAGAATATAGGATGTTAGAGGAAGACCTGCTCACCCAATCAGTCCTAGTCTTTCACAGCTTAATGAATCCGGGCATGAGTAAACCTTCCTGGGAAACAAATTACTGAAATGGTTTTATTAATTAATGAATTTAATTAACCTGAATGTTAAAAATAAGTCATTTATAGAACATTTTGAATCCTTATTGTCCAATAAACACAAATGGTTGAACCTGAGTGCACTAATGCAGAAAAAAACAAGAGTCTTGATCCTAGTTATGGATTTTTTTTTTCCTCCTACTTAGAAAAGAAATGTGATTTATTTAAAGAGTTGGTTGGTTACAGGACACTGTATTAAAGGGGAGAGGGAGTTAAGTGAAGTTTGGAAACCGTTTACTGGAAGCCAGTTTTATGGATCTTCTGTCCTGAGATAATGCTTATTTTCTTTCTCCGTTAATTGCTCAAATATTTTATCTTTGGCCCTGTTAAATTATTTACCTTTTTAATAGTCAAACAACTAATGTGATGCTATCTATTGGCACATCATATAGCAAGTGAATAAGAGGAATGATGCATTACTAGAAATTCAGACTGACACAGTAACCTTCTTGCATGTTTTATCACGTTCCAGCTTTCAGTATTCATTTACTACGCAGTATGGAAGCCACAGAAACAATGGATTACCTTGGGAACTGGTATCATGAATAGCCCCTTGACATACCGGTATGATAAACGAGAAGAGGCATGGAGATTCCTTTCTTACATGTTCGTGCATGCTGGGTAAGCATGGCAGCATAAATATTTATAGTATCTGTTTTATATACTATGAAATAAGCACACACCAAAAATCGTACACATTTTATTGTTTACTATGCATCAAGCGGTTCAGGACAGTCATCGGAAACATCCCCTTGAGGATCGATGATGGTCCTGAACCGTCATAACGGTCTTGGGGTACTTACCTGATCGCTGTCGTTCCCCCGGCGGCGATCAGCGTTTCATCCAGTCCAGGGAGACTGCCTGTCTGCCCAGACAGTCTCCCCGCGGCAGATTAGGACCCCCGCGGCCACGTGATCGCTCAATCACGTGGCCGCAATAAGTGCCTGTGTATCTGCCTGCAGGGGGACTGTCTGTGCTGACAGGCAGTCTCCCTGCAAGTGGAAAAAATATATATCATCTATGTATAAATAAATAAAAATAATCCAAAATATACATATGTACATAAATAATTTCATAAATATACACGTAGACCTCAAATATATAAATATGTATATATATTTAAATTCTACGTGCATATTTATGTAATATTTTTACATAATTAAGTAATTTTATTAGTTGCAATTTGAGGGACATGCCTGAGAACCCAGGCCAAAAGTCCAGAGAATTTAATTTGCTAGCACTGTGTTTAACCCTGTAACTTTCTATGACACCCTAAAACCTGTACATGGGGGTTACTGTTTTACTCTGGAGACTTTGCTGAACACAAATATTGATCTTTCAAAACAGTAAAACGTATCATAGCGATGATATTGTCAGTGAAAGTGATGTTTTTTGCATTTTTCACACACAAACGGCACTTTCAGGACACTGATGATATTATTGCTGTGATCCGTTTTACTGTTCTGAAACACTAATGTTTGTGTTCATTCTGCCGAGTATAACAGTACCTCACATGTAGAGGATTTATAGTGTTTTTGAAAGTTACAGGGTCAAATATAGGGCTTGATTAGAGTTTTTTTTTTTTTTTTAAATTTGTCAGAGCGTATGGTAGCCCAGGAATGAGAATTACCCCCATGATGGCATACCATTTGCAAAAGAAGACAACCCAAGGTATTGCAAATGGGGTATGTTCAGCCTTTTTTAGTAGCCACTTAGTCACAAACACTGGCCAAAGCTAGCGTTTATTTGCATTTTTAACACGCAAACAAATATAAATGCTAACTTTGGCCAGTGTTTGTGACTAAGTGGCTACTATAAAAGACTGGACATACCCCATATTGAATACCCTGGGTTGTCTACTTTAAAAAAATATGTACATGTGAGGTGTGATTCAGGGATTTATGACCGATAACAGTTTTACAATGTCACTATTGATAATTTTAAAAAATATATTGAAACAGGAATGTCCTACTTGTACTTATAGCCCTATAACTTGCAAAAAAAAAAAAGCATGTAAACACTGGGTGTTTTTAAACTCAGGACAAAACTTTGAATCTGTTTAGCAGTTTTTTTCATAAGCTTTTGTAGATAAGTAAAAGATTTTTCAAGTAAAAGTCCAAAAACGTGTCTCTTTATTTTTTAAAAATTTTCACCATATATATATATATTTTTTTTTAAAAGTCAAATATATGACATGATACAAATAATGGTATGTAAAGAAAGCCCTTCTTGACCTGCAAAAAACAATATATAACTTGTATGGGAACAGTAAATGAGAGAGCGGAAAATTAGAGCTAAACACAAACACCACAAAAGTGTTAAAACAGCTCTGGTCCTTAACGTACAACATCGCAAAAACAGGCCGGTCCTTAAGGGGTTAAAGGAACACTATAGAGTTCTGATTACAGGTATGTATTTCTAACAATACAAAATACAATACAAGTTGCGCCAAGTGAATCCAATAAGTCCAAAAAAATGCTTGAGATAGTCTTGGTTGGTAACAATCTGGACTTTAGATGCTTATATATAAAAACAGAAAATAACCACTAATTGTGCTAGGTGTAAGACACAAAACTGAGATAATTGGGCTAGCAATCACATTTAATAGGGCTATAGACCAGCTCTGGGTAAAACAGCAGTACAATCCCCACTGATGGATATGTAGTTCTATGGATCAGTCTCACAGCATACATATGAATATATACAATCAAATTTAAAAGCAAACAATAGTACTTTCTTTGTTAAAATCTATTAAAAAATTAAAAATAGAGCAATGCACACTGCTCAAGTATTTGCGCTTGGGTGGTATGATCCCCACCAGGGATATGATGTTGAGTAAGCTGTCCAAAGGATAATTCTCACCAGGGATAAGGTGCAGTAGTTTTTTTTTTTAAAGATAATAGGTGTGCCAGGAACAATAAAAAGCTAAAACTGCTTAAAAGCATAAAACGTGTAATAAATTGTTAAACACACTGGGAAAGGTGAATAGCAAATATAATGCTTAAAAAGAGTAAAGAAACACAACGCATTTTGCCAAAAAGGCTTCTTCACTTATATATTTTCCTAACATTTATAGCATTCTCCTCAATGTTTAGATTTTTGGGCTGCTGTTGCAAGGCGGATAGTCGCACTAACTGAGCTCTGTGATTAAGAGATTATTTTACTTTTCTTTTCTTTTGCTCTAGAACATGGTTTGGACTGTTGTTGTTGCACATATGGGTCTGTGGGAGCAATATAGGTTGTAAGATCAAAAGCCTGAAAAGCAACGGTAAGCATAAACATCAGACCACTTCTGCAGCAAGCTCATGGCATGACTGGGCCCAAGCTAACCTCCCATCTAGAGGACAACTCTGAATTATCTGATGACCTGTCCCTTGGGACTAAAGAAGACAACATAACTGCCATAATGACTTTAGTACCGGCACCTTTTGGTCCAGATGACACACCAATGACAATAGCAGTTGTAAAGGAACTTTTTGCGGACCTCCAGAAAAAATATATTTTAATTGATGTGGCAACACTTTGATTTGATTTGCAAGGCTTAACGGGCCGATTTGAAAACTACCTTCCTTGACTGTACACACCAATTTAACTCACCTCAACAATGCTACAGGAGCTACAGCAACAACATGAAACTAATGAAAGGCACTTTGCAGCACTGGAGGATATGTGGCGAAGGAATAACTTAAATATACAGGGCATCTCGGAGGATATTACAGCTTCAGAACTGTATCTATTACAATGCATCCTAGGACTCTTTTGACTCCCTAAATTACCCAGGGCTCCAGCTGCAGTGCCAAGGCAGAGATAAAGCCAGAGTTTTGGCGGCCATCAAGAAGCAAACTCCCTATACCTTTGAATCAATGTGAGGTATATTTTATGCAGACTTCTCTGGAGGTACACTAGTGTGGTGACAGTCACTTCTGCCATTCACATCCCTGTTCAGAAAACACAACATTCAATGTCAATGGCAAATGTGTCGCACACTTCTGGTCCATAACGGTGGCACCAAGCATGCAGTTCAAGATGTCCAAGGAGAAATAGCCCTATTAGCAACACTGGGACTTCCTCAGGACTCCCTTAACTATAACTGGAACTGAGCAGTCAATTGTGTACCCCAATAATGGGATCTGGTGAATGTAGCCATGTTTACCTCAAGACAGTCCACACGCGACTCTCATGCTGCAGTTACAACTAACACAATGCCCTAGCTTAATGTGGCATTAACAAGTTTGATTAATGTTTTTTGTTTCAATGTATTAGTCTTTAATTAGTGTGCTTTTCCAATCCATCCCTTGCCCTCAGATCGATTGGTTTAAATACCAAATGTATAGCCCCCCCGCCCCCAGCACCCACCTTGAAGTATTACTAATAGGTAACCATATAGAGTATCACTATAGTAAGACGTAAAATTTAGGTTCTCCTCAGTCGATGCTTTATCATCTAGTGATGTATCTAATGTTCTTTTTAGGTCAATGAGATATGCTGTGTTTATGGTATTGAATTTATTCAGAGTTGATGCATATGTACATTGTACCATTTAAAGGGATGCATATTAGAACTAAAACCTAATTTTTATAGGACTAATTTTTAAAGACTTGTACAATGCAACTTCAGATACCTTGTATGCTTGCGCAATATTGTATTGTATTATTGTTTATATGTATTGGTACATCCTGTCTATGATCTGAACTAAAAATAAAAATATATAATTTTTTTTTTTTTTTTATTCTTTTATTTTTGGCGTGTCGTTGCAATACATTCTGGTGGGAATAGCTGTATAGCATAGTACATACATGGCACAATCGAGTATAAGAATACATTGTGTAGTGCGGTTCGTACCTTATTGTCTACATTGTCACAAGCTGAAATGTACTGTTATTGATGACACTTTTTGACATTGTCACATTATCACATTAAACCATTAACCAGTTAACTGCGCGGAGGAGCGGGGGCCCCGGCCCGACGCCTCGTTGATTTTTGTCGCTTTCAGCTTGTGGTGAATGCGTTCAACACGAGGCCCCAGCCCCCCGACGGCATGAGAGAAAAGAGAGTAGTGGATAGGGGGGGGGTAGGGGGGGAAGAGGGAGATCAGAGACCGGAGTTTCGCCCAGATCACGCCCAGGGTTGACCAGGGGCGGCGCTGCCCTCTGCCTCGCTCTAGTTTCATTCGTCTCTATGCGTGGCCTTCCAGGGTTCCCACACCCTTTCATATGCTTTCATGGTACCTCTCACCAGTGCCGTGAGATGGTCCATGACTTGGATGTTTCTTATTTTGTGTTTCACCATACAGATCTGTGGGATGTCTGGTTTAAGCCATGCCTGTACCATAGTGAGCCTAGCTGCCAGGGTGATTTTACGTAGGAATTTTTGCTCCCATCCTTTCCAGTCTGCCATTGGTCTGGATAACAGGCACACCCATGGGTCTATGCCTAAAATATATAATTTTTACTTGCTCCTTGTGTCTGTGAAAATGACATTGCTGCTGTTGATCTCAGCACTCTGCTCAATGAGCAGCATTTCATTGAATAATGAAGTAAAGGATGGTCCACAGGGGTAGGTGGGGTGGCGCCACCCAGTTTTTGTTGACAACATAAAAAATGAAATCTATTTTCATTGTAAGGACTGCTGATAAGTGTAAGTTAGAAAAATGTCTGCCATGATTATACCAGCAGTTTCTTTTATCCCTATTATTGATGACTGGAGATGCAGCTGGTTTCAAACAGGACATGGCATTTCATGTGGTTATACAGAGCCCAACATGTCAGGGGGGCAACACCTCTCCATTTTAAATTTTTTTTAAAATGTCAGCTGCCTTTTATTGCACCCACAGTGCCTCTAGTGGTCATTTAAAAGCAAACCGTCACTTCTATTAAAATTACACAATTGAAAAAAACTTTGAAAATCAATTTATAAATGGTGTTCATTTTTTTTTTTGTGATTCTATTTTTATTCATAAGCTTTATTATTTTATCGTTATTTTTTTACTTTATCTTTCACAGTATCAATAGTATCAAGAAATTAGCGCATTATTTTACAATCTCATAAACCAGTCCACGCACTGACTGGTTTTGGCTATGCAAGTACCTGCTGAGCTTAATGATTAGTTCCTGGCCCTTCTTCAATCCAGTCAGTACTGATCAAAATATAGTATATGCAGTGTGCTATTGTGTGTGTGTGTCCTCAGAAAACTGGAGGTCCAATAAAAACCAGATTATGTGTATTCAGTGTTTATTGTAACACAGTGATACTAGTTGTATAATAACATTTTGATTATTGATGTTACATTATAACATGCTCATGTTCTATAAGCAAGTATATTGATACAATGTTCTCTTATTTACCATCTACAGAGTTCAACACATTATTGGGAACCTTTTTCTCCAACTTCTTATTGGAATCCCCTTAGAACTGGTTCATAAAGGACATCGTGTAGGTCTAGTATACCTGGCAGGAGTCATTGGAGGTCAGTACTCTTCCTGTGGCCTGTATTCTTGCTCCTCATTATGTGTCTGTTAAAATGTGTTGCTTCACAAAATCCAGAGAACTCCTAGGTCTCCACAGTATTCTATATTTTGAAAAATAGTTTTACTACATGACTTCCCTAATCTCAGGTAAAATTATAAAAAAACAACTCATCAGCACTTTATGAAGGAGAAACAATCCCACAGATTAAATTATTGTGTAGGAGGAATTGTTGAATATATGATTCATATTCATTTGTCCCCCCCAAATGGAAAGAAATAATCTGTGCTATAAAATATTTAAAGGTTCCTATTTGAATCATTAGTTATACATAGCATATCAGATAAAAAAAGATGCACGAGTAACGTTTTTCCTAATTTTTGGCTTATCACTAGGATCCCTGGCCAGTTCCATTTTTGACCCTCGTAAAAATCTGGTTGGTGCTTCTGGTGGTGTCTATGCTTTAATAGGTGGTTATTTTATGAACGTGATAGTGGTGAGTATATTTTTCTGCTACTCATAATGGAGACACAGAGACAGATTATTTTGATTAATTGATTAAACTTTCCACACACGTAGACAGACTTTGTCACAAAGCCTTCCTTGAATAACAGACAACACTCCTGTTCAGGTGGCAAGCATATCCCCAAAATACTTTATTTACCACAAGGACTAGCCTCCAGCACACATAATTCACATTATCGTGAGACATGCAAACAGAAGCAAATCTATGCACATTCCCTAGCTTAAACCTATTCACAAGAATTATAATAGAGAAGGAAGTGACACTCTCAGAAAACCTTCCTGTTACTATAAGTGTTTATTTAGGTTGTTTACAAGCTATAAATATGCTTTGCTCACTGACTTAGGAGGCATGAACCTTTTTGTTCTTTTGAACATTGATACAGTTATTTATCTCACATTGTCAGTCTGTACTTCATCTTTGAAGAAAAATGTTTGTATAGTCCTCACATGTATGTCAAACTCTAAACCCAACAGGAACACACCCAACACGAGTGATGGAGGTCACACCCTGCATCCCATCATTTCACATTCTAATTAATAGGTGGCTCTAACTGCTTCTACTGTTTGGGTTCGGTGCATGCTGAAGCCAGTTTGAAATATAAAAACAAATGGGCATTCGCGAAAATATATACTTTTTTTTCCCCAAAAAATTTAAAACTACGTTCGCATCAGCACACTAATTCCACATACAACAAGTGAAGAAAACTGTGAAGTAATCTAATAGTTGATTTTACTTAATGTTTGTACCTAAGAGTTTGTCTCTTTTTGTTACTACAGACACATCAATAATATCAGATTGTAAATGGTAATGATTAGAATATATATTTGCATATATGGGCTTAATGTTTAAATAGTGTAATATGGAAAAACAATTTCTAAGTGGCAAAAAAAACACATCTGTCTTAAACACATTGATACTGCCAGTATAAGTACTTATTGTATTGGAAGTAGTCTTAATTCACCAGGGTGGAACTCTTTACAGTGTTTACACTAAAGGTCGATTATTTTTCTTGTTCTATATTCATGATTGCCATACAGTATATTTGAGCACAAAACCTCTAAAATAAAAAAATAGGTTTGCTAAAGCTAGAATAAATTAGTTCTATTATTTCAATATATTTATATTAATCTATAGTAGAAATAAAGCTAAGTTTTAACCATGTTCTCTTTATCACAAGCCTATCATTATTACTCTAACCTGCATCACCGGCTTATCCTCAAACCTCTCTGCTGGCTGTGACATCAGCCTAGAGGACCCTATTTTGGTTACCCTGTCTAGTCTTAAACCGACCTACCAAATACCTTAATTCTACAAATGCCAATACTAATACCCTAAAATAGGAAGTCTATGTGCCCTAATTGTAAACCTTTTGTAAAACCTATCAAAAGTACTAGTCTATTGTGAAATGACATAGCAACGATGTTGTGTACTAAAAGGAAAGCAAGGTGTAGTGTTTTACTGCGTTTTGCAGCTTTGTCAAAAAAGCAACAAAAACAATGCTAGTTTGTCACGTTAAGATTGCTAGGGTTTTAAATTCCTGTTGTAATCATTTAATAGATTCACTAGGACATATCACCAATTAAACTTTCTCCAATAGTAAACCGTAGGTGTACCTACACCTAATTACACTTGGATACCATGTATCCTTAAAATAAAGGGATTAAGGAGCTGGGTTATTGGGAAATTATGGGATCTCATATTTGTGCTTTGCCCAGGGTATCACAAAGTCTTGAGCTGCCCCTGATAGTTGTGCCCAGTCTATAGAAGAGCTATGCTGTATTAAGTAGCTTTAATAATTATTTACTTTTTAAAAAAATATATATAAATGGCAGCTTTACCCGACAAGTGGATCATACAATTTTTTAAAAAATGTAAAAAATTGTTGAAATAAAATTTAATGTCGCTTAAAATGAACTACTTTGGGCACAAAGCTTCATCAGATATTTCTGAACAAATTACTTTATCTTGTATAGTGGAAAGCTGGTAGCTAATCTGCAAATTTAAAACCATAGCTGCTGGAGGGCTAACACTATCAAAATCAAACTGGACAGCCTGAAGCTCTCAGGAACCATGGCAGTGGTTGGGTGACAGTGCAAGGAAGTGACCTGCATCCACCAACAAAACCAAACAGCCATCCTTTCTCAGAAAAAAGGTGGATATCTCTGTGTATACAATTTATTAAACAAATATGTGCATTATTTCTTTATTTAAAATATGACATTATGCAGCAAGGGTGAGCACTGGGTGTGGCGCTACTATGATTTCCACCTAAGTGATACCTCCTCAGAGAGCTATTCTGCAAAGCACCCAAACAAATTGGCTCTTAACTAGAGTTGATCGAACCCGGACTGTAAAGTTCGGGTTCGTACCGAACATTACATTTTTTGGACCCCGGACCCGAACATGGACATATCACTGTATGTTCGGGTCGGTGTTCGGCGATTTAATGCCGCGTTTTGAAAGGCTACAGGCAGTCAATCAACAAGCGTTTGACTCGTGTGCCCTTAGAAGCCATCACAGCCATGCCTACTAATGGCATGGCTGTGATTGGCCAGTGCAGCATGTGACCCAGCCTCTATATATAAGCTGGAGTCGCGTAGCGCCGCACGTACATGAGGTCTTATTAGTGTAGGGAGAGGATGCTGCCGCTGTGAGGGACAGCTTAAGAAAGAATTCTGCAAACTAATAAATTAGTGGGGTGCACTTCATATCTGAGAGTCAAATAGAAGCGTCAAATACTGCGGTTACATCAGAGTTTTAAAACTTAAATTTTTTTGGGTGCTAAATAGTACATTTTGGGCGTGCTCTTCATATCTGAGAGTAAAATAGAAGAGCCAAATAGTGCGCTTACTGCGCAGTTGTAAAAATCCGAATTGTTTTGCTGCTAATCTGCTAAATAGTACATTTTGGGGGTGCACTTCATATCTGAGAGTCAAATAGAAGCGTAAAATAGTGCGCTTAATGCGCAGTTGTAAACATTCTAATTGTTTTGCTGCTAAAGTGCTAAATAGTAAATTTTGGGGCCTGCTCTTCATATCTGAGAGTCAAATAGAAGCGTCTAATAGTGCGCTTACTGCACAGTTGTAAAAATTCTAATTGTTTTGCTGCTAATCTGCTAAATAGTACGTTTTGGGGGTGCACTTCATATCTGACAGTCAAATAGAAGCGTCAAATATGAATATAACAATATTGTAATTCGGGGGCAATACCCTCACAAGTCAAACTGAGAGGTCAGTTTATAGGGGAAACTGTTGCCTGGATACAATTCTAAAACAATTCCCATATGTCCTTTGCAGAGTTTACATGCTGGAAAAACACAGGTGCCAACTGTTGTGGCTTTCTGCAGTGTGCAGACCGGCAAGGAGGGCAGGGTTGAGGAGTGGGTGGAAGATGATGTGGAGGATGATGAGGTCCTAGATCCCACATGGAATCAAGGTCATGCGAGTGATGTGTGCAGTTTGGAGGAAGAGGCGCTGGTCGCACAGAGGCACCAGCACAGCATAAGAGGGAGCAGGGTGCAAAAGTGGAGCGGCCGTCCCCTAGCGCTCGTCGGCATCTATTAGCTCGAGAATTACCAGTTATCCAAGTAATAGATGTAGCGATCAAAGGATCCATAATAGAGTTGAGCGAACCCAAACTGCAAAGTTCGGGTTCGTACCAGATTTAACGATCCATTCGTAGTTTCACAGTCAGGTGGCCAGTCCGGTGACCGGGACCCAGACACTGTCTGGGCGGCAGTTGGATGACCGGGACCCAGTATGCCTGATGTTGAAGTTAGGAGTCACAGTGTGGAATGGATTAGCAGGGTCTGGTGCAGGGTAAACAAACGCCCCCTGGTGTTGAGCACCAGCGTTTGTGTGGCCACATACCAGGACCCTGATGCAGCTTCAGTAAAAAGAGTACTGGATACCAGAAGCCATCACTAGACTGATCCGCAACTTGGAACAGGATGTGACATTCACTGTAGCGTCTGTGCGCACTTTCTGCATCTCACCCTGCTGCTGCTCTGCTTTGGCTTTCCCACTCACCACTTCATATGCGACGTGCCCACAAGGCCACCTTGCACATGCTGGAGAGACTGCGGGCAGCAGCAGGCGATAGTGGAGTTTCAGCTGCCGCACGCACGGGTCAGTCGCTCTGCACCAGACTTGCCCTAAAATTGATCAGAGTTAAAGGATTTCAAGTGGACTCATTACAATTACAGGGCCTCTAAAGAGTCCTGTATTGTTATTTGACATCACTACCTTCCTGCGTCTGGAGTGGGTCATTTGCGCACCTGCTGCCTTCCTTGCATGCGGTAGCCGTTTCTCAGATTCCCTCTCCGTAATCCAACCCTGATTCCCCGTTACCCGTGGTCACCATGGTAGGCGCAGAAACTGGCATCGAACGTTGATATGGATGACATCCAAATGCAAAGTCGCCGTCACGTGGATGTGCGATTGGCTCGAGGTTCTCTAGAGTCAACAAAGTGCCTGCGCAACTATAATGTCAACAGCTACTCTGCGGAACAGAGTTGTGTTTTTTTTTTTTTTTTTATATGTCCCAATATTTTGGGGGCTACCCCAATTAAATTAAAAAAATACATATATTTATTTACTGGTATATATATAAAACCGTGTTGGCTACCTCCTCCTCCTCCTCCACCGCTGCTTCCACCTACACCGCCTCCTCAACCTATTTGGTCAATTAGTATTAACTATGTACACAATAGCAGAGGCTTGTGAATGCCTTTTCTCCATGCATCAGGAGTTGAGCATTTCTCCATGCATCAGGACTGCAAGAAATGCACCGCAGGCTGCAAATGTTTCTTTTTTTTTATATGTCCCAATATTTTGGGGGCTACCCCAATTAAAAAAAAAATTAAAAATAATATATATAACAGTGCTGGCTACCTCCTCCACCGCCGCTTCCACCTACACTGCCACGGTCACCGCCTCCTCAACCTATGGGTCACTTAGTATAAACTATGTTCACAATAGCAGAGACTTGTGAATGCCTTTTCTCCATGCATCAGGAGTTGAGCTCAGTTTGAACAATGAAAGAGAATACCCTGGACTCCAACCCTCTCTCAAATGGATAATTCTAGTTATCATCCTGACAGCCATGCTTTAGATTTTGATTTATGTTCTTCCAAAGCTAAAATCAAAGATTTCATCTAGTGCTATTTTATGGCTCGGCTGTATTTTTTATTTTTATGTTATTTTAAGTGATTTCCCTATCCACATTTGTTTGCAGGGCACTTGTCCTACTCTTACGCCCATTTTACTTGCTTTTGCAGCCCTCTAGCCCTTTCCAGGAGATTTTTATAGGCATTTTTGTGCCCAAAAGTTCAGATCCCCATTGACTTCAATGGGGTTTGGGTTCAGGGTCAAGTTCGAGCACGAACCCGGACTTTTTTTTCAAAGTTCTGCCGGACCCGAACATCCAGGTGTCCGCTCAACTCTACTCTTAACAAGGGTTTCTATCAGGAAAAAACACTCTTCAGATGGATGCCTTTACAATGAAACAATGACAAGTCATAAAGGTTCAATTCCAGCTAAACTTAACTATAGCTTACTTATATAAAATTAGTTATAATCTGATTGACGTTTGCACATCCATATATTGAGTTAAAACACATTTACACTTACAAGTAAAACTGTACTGAGTAAAATGTAAACTGTTTCCATTTTCTTTCTAGAATTTCGGAAGTATGGTGCCGATATTTGGGATATTTCGAATTTTATTGATTGTACTAATAGGTATGTTTTTAGTGTATGAATCAAATTCTCCAATGCCTCATTTTAACATTAGTTTCTTTTGCACAGTTTTATAATATGTATGCCATGCAGAAAAAAACCCGAAATAATAATGTGCGCCGCATCCTTTGTTACTGTTGCCTCTTGAAGTCATAGTGACATTTTCATATTGTTGTAACAGATAAGAAGTATTGTCTGTCCATGACAGGTGTCCTAACGCTGTAATCTCTGATCCTGATAATAACTAATACTGTCTGACCATGACAAGGGTTCTAGCACTGTAATCTCTGATATGGATAACGAATACTGTCTGACCATGACAAGGGTTCTAGCACTGTAATCTCTGATATGGATAACGAATACTGTCTGACCATGACAAGGGTTCTAGCACTGTAATCTCTGATACGGATAACGAATACTGTCTGACCATGACAAGGGTTCTAGCACTGTAATCTCTGATATGGATAACGAATACTGTCTGACCATGACAAGGGTTCTAGCACTGTAATCTCTGATATGGATAACGAATACTGTCTGACTGATACCGGAGAAACTGACGGAAGCAAAGCACAGAGGGATGGACACAGGTTTCTTCAGGAAGGAAGAGATTCTTTATTGGATCACCGATCGGGACTCAGAGGGACTAATGTCACCAAAAATACAGCAAGTTCTGAGCCCTGAACAATAGTGCAGGCTCCCTATATAGGCACATAACTCCTCCCATATTAAGCTCCACCCGCACATTCTCTTGACCAATCATTACAAATAAGAATTAACTTCCTGCTTGACCGCATGGCTTGTCCAGCACAATGGAGGAGGGGAATACTACATCCTGTATTCTTGCACATGCTCCGTACACTACTGATCGTATCTTGCCTCGTGCAACCAACTGATCGATACGTCAGCATATGCACGTACACATGCCACGTGGTAATCTCGGCCTACTAAATTTATTTTTACCGAGATTCCACCACATTCCCCCCTTTGATGCCTCTTGATATTTTACAATTACTTGAGGCATCACTTAACCTTGGTTTGCATACACCACAAGTTACCTTTGAACCAGACCAGACTTATCCTATGATGTGAATCTTCAACACTCGTCTTCCTGCATTGGTTCTCCCTGATCTAGAGCCTTATATTTATAAATTGCCATTATCTGTGCAGCAGCCTTCCTCTCTGCTATATTTTCTATCAGGCTTTGCACAGACCTAACTACTAAGGGTATAAGACACGGCAGGAGTAGACACAACATTAAAATCAGTAGGACTCCACCTACCACTGCCTTAAGCCCTCCAAACCACTCATACCAGCTACCAAACCAACTACTTGGATTGTACCCTTTCCATACCTGAGTAGGCACATGCGCTAGTTTAACCATATGGCTAGTAAGCTCAGCTATTGCTTGCCCTTCGTCATCTATTTGAAGACAGCAATTGCTCAGGTTAAACTTCCCACATACACCTCCCTCTACTGCCAAAAGATAATCCAAGGCTAATCTATTTTGGTAAACTGCTGTCCTCATCCTGGTATTATGCTTCGCTAGAAGATTGAGCGCTTGTGATGTCTCGTTAGTAATGATCTCAACCACCGCCTGTAACCTTATAATGCGGTTGAGCATATAAATAGGGGTTCTATAACCAAAGGTACCATCCTCTGCCCACGTGGCTGGCCCATAATAATCTATAATACGCTGGGGAGGCCATTCATTATCTTCCCAGGCACCTATCTCTATGGGTCCCCTTTTCTTCCTATGATTCACATCATACACTTTAACACCTAAAGTCTCACCTGTTTCAATAGGCAACAAGAAGAAGGATGGTTTTAACATACCCAACACACATGCCCCTTCCCAGTCCTGTGGTAACTCCGAATAGGCCTTCTTACCACAGATCCACTACAAATTCGCTGGGGCTCTCCAGTTAGATGTGATGGATAGATCAAACCATACGTCCTTTAAATTGGCATATCTTGCAAACGGGTTAGATGGTTCTGAGACATTTGAAGCCGACCACCAAGTTGTATTCTTTGTATCATCATCATAAGCTTTTTGCCCTAGACAAGTTAATTCTCCTACAGAAGTATTATACATCATTCCTTTCCTCGCTATGCAAACATAACCTATGATGGAGGTCTTCAATCTCCACTCAGATTTACCTCTAACACTCATATGATAGTCGGCTTGTGTAGATATTAATTGGTCAACTGCCTCAGAACCGGACATTACCTCCTTTGCTTCCCAAGGCCATTGGTCTCCCATGTTAGTACCTCCACACACATAGCAGTTGGTAACATTAAGACTACCGGCAATACTCTCGGCTAAATCAATGAACAAGTTTTTAGCATTATGGGGGATCTTATTATCTATGCTCATCTCTTCATAAAAGGAATGGTATACTTGATGAGTTTGGGAGGTTACCGTATCAGTCTCTATCCCTATAAACAATATTGTCCCAGGGTCTAAACCCGTCCCATATATTTGAAACCCAAATAAATTACCATATTTATCTAAGAACTTGTCAGGGTTATTTATAAGTATATGGATTGGATTGCATTCCATAGACTTACAATATGGATCAGTAGACAACTTAGTCACAATCATGTCCTTGTCTGCTGTCTGTCCCCAAGTCGCCCACCCCACACAAGACCAATATGGGCAGAAGTTATAATCTCTATTTGGGCATCTTGGACTTACATATTTATTTTTACTACTGGGACAAATATATTTATCGTTAGACCCATACGTCCTCTCCCATCTAAGATCCCCACATACATTCCACGGCTTTCTACCACTTGATATTGCTTTACACGCATCAAATAGCAGAGCACCTGAAGAATATACGGATTTTAATACCGTCTTATTAATTAGGGTCCCCTGAGAATCTCCATTTCTGAGAGTCAACCAAATTGTACGGGGTTGATACTCAGGACTGAAGCACTTAGGTTCTCCTACTCCTAAATGACACACACTATATTCTATATTTAAGTATCTACATCTTGATACATCTCCTTTACACTCATATTGCAAATGCCAAATTAGGGTCTGGGATATATGGTTACCTGTTCTTGTAGTCTTAATGCATACCTCACAGCTAGGAGTGTTGGTACCTCTACCTTCCTGAATATAAAAATACACATAAATAAACATTATTAAAATACATCTTTCGTCGTCATCCTCAGTC